TATTGCCCCCCATATGTGAAATAGGTTGATTTCAGGCACAGTTTCAGAAGTTGACACAGTTGTTCTGTGGAAAGTGTGGTTCTGCTGCTGAGAGTGGTGTCTGATTTTAGTCTTACACAGACCACCTCCACCGCCTTATCAACAGGAACGCACGTAAAGAGTGATGTGACATCAAAGGAGACCATAGTTTCATCCGCCTCCATGATGACATCCCTCAGCTTGTTGACAAAGTCCATAGTGTTCTGTATGTGATGTTCTGAGCTGCCAACTAAWGYACCAAGTARWGACGRRAGATATTTYGAAACATTGTAAGTGACAGAGTTGATCATGCTYACAATGGGTCTTACCGGTACATCCTGTTTGTGAATTTTGGGTAAACCATACAGACTAGGAGTGGCCTCACCTGGGTACAGTGTGTGGTACAGAATGSGGTTAATAGCCTTGTCCTGCTTTAACTTTTTCAGGCACTCTATCAACTTCTTCTTGTATCCACTTCCTGGATCTCTTTTCAGCGACTCGTATGTGGTCATGTCATTAAGGAGTGTCATAACCTTCTCATGGTAGTCTTTCTGGTTCAAAATCACTGTGCACCTTCCTTTGTCTGCTGGGAGGATGATGATGTTCTTGTCCTTGCTGAGGGTGGTGAGAGCGTCTCTCTCTTCTCTGCTGATATTAGAAGGTGGTGATTTGGCGTTGTTGAGGCAGGCTGAAACTTTGTTCCTAAGTTGTTCTGCTTCAAATTCTGGGATTTTGTTGTTGCGAGTGGCTGATTCTGTGGCTGTGATCATCTCAACCAGAGGAATTATTCTTGGTGCGACGGCAAAGTTCAGTCCTCTGGACAGGATTTCGGTTTCTGGCTGGGTGAGTTCTTTGTCAGATAAATTCTTCACCCACTTCTGTCCCCCTGGCATTTGCTTGTGCTCCRGTGTGTTGTTCCTCCTTCAGTGAGTTGTTGGAATTACAGTAAAGTGAACTTCTTTTGTTGTCGGGTCTTGGACCTGATATGCTGAGCTAAACCTGCCTTTTCTGTAAAATCCATAACCTGTTGGAATGTGGTCTGATCTAGATGTTTTGTTAATTCTTGTCGYATGTGTTCCTCTTTGGCTTCTATAGCTTCAGTGGTAAAGTTTTTTCTGTCTTACTCGTTGTTCGAAAGCTGGGTCTGTGCCCTCTGTAGGATCTTTATTGACCGTGGTCTGCCAACAGATGATTTAAGTTGAAGGCTTCTAGGAAAGACATTTAAACAAAAATGTTGTCTTAAGAAAAAAATGAAATCTCTACATCAGGTCAGGAGTATATATATACAGGTGCTGGTCATAAAATTAGAATATCATGAAAAAGTAGATTTATTTCAGTAATTCCATTTAAAAAGTGAAACTTGTATATTATATTCATACATT